TATGAGAATCTGCGAACAACTGGATGTAGAACACCGGGAAGAGTGCGCCTAACTGTCCCAGGAATCCTGATAGAAGAGTTAGGAGGTATGGTATATAGAGTAGATTGGTGGGTTCTTTGGATCGGGTGGGTTGATCTGAATCAGCGTTGCTGTTGGGAATTGAACTTGGAGCAGGAACGGTGATAAGAGCGTTTCCAATAATGAGGAGACCCAGAGCTAGGAATGCGGTTGATCGTACAGCCAATGGGAATCCATGTTGTGGAATGAGATGGTTTAGTAGGACTAGAGAAGGACAAGGTAAAGTTCGCAGGGCGAATCGAGTGTACACGGAACACTCACTTGAGAAAATGCCTCCTCCGAATGATCCAGAGGAGGCGATGATTCCCTATCAAGAAATTAACAAGTAGCTCTTGCACCGTATGTCGATGAGAAAACCCGAGAGATAAGCTTACACACCATGGCGATCGCTTGTCTATTTGGGAGATGATGTGCCGCAGTCGATAGTGCCTACATAACAGTGTAAGTTCGCCATTACAACCCAGCATAATACGCAAAATTTACGGGGACATAACACAATCCGATACCAATCCCCATTCCTAGTCCTTGAGAGAGCATGACTTGCCAATATTTGTCTCGTTCCACGAGCGAAAGTGTGAAGAAACTATAGCACGTCAGGAATTGGAAGTTGAGACTCTTATTAGAAAGTGAACCAAAGACGATACATACATACCTAACTAGGTAGATGATACTTCCAGTTGCTAAAACGCTCCTGGTATGACCCATATCGCACCTGATAGCAAATGGGCGTAAACAGTTTTTTGAACGGGTTAGTAAAAACTTGGTATTAACGCCTCGTGTTCGGAATAAGAGACAAGGAGAGAATGGGAGGGTACTGGTACTTGAATGAACACACACAATTTTCCTCCAACTGCACCCAAACCCAACTGCAAAAATATCTGAACTCCAATAATCCAGCTAATCTTCGAAGCGGACGAACTGATTAGGAAGCCCGAGCTGACATAGTAATCTTGGAAAACACCAAATGTAGTGTCCGACGCGACCGTGCTGAATTGGATGAGGAAGCATCCGATAACTAAGTATATTCAAGGATCGACATCAAGATAGAGATGAATAGTGAGCGATCTGGTTAAAGGCAGGAAGATAAGTATACAACTTGCCTGATAACCATGCTCTGAGTGCACCAGCGGGATATAGAGGTGTGTTAAAAGCGTGTTCTGTTGTTGTATGCGGAGCTACTGTGCCGTTGGTGTTTGGCCTGAAAGCCAAGTCCGCACCAGGTGTTCCACGTTCACATTGAACGTCCGATTTTGGCTCAGAGAAGCTAGACCTAGCTATCATGATTACTTGGAGAGAAAAGGAAGAAGGAAAAGCGAATGTCACAGGAAAACTACGCACTGTCGCGTTTTTCAAAGGATTCCGAACATTAAAAACATTGAGACGAGCGTTAACGGATACGGAAAAACCTGTGATGCTAACTCAGTAACTAGTCACTCAATCAAAGAGCTTGATATCGATGAATTACAATGGTATGTACTAAGCAGAACTGAAGTAACGTTCAAAGTTCAGCTTGAGATGCAAGCGTTTTCAAACTAACCGCACAACGAGGACCAAACCAGGATGGTCGATACACCGAACGGACTTTGGTGGCCGGTAATAGGAAGTGAATTATTCGGCAAATTTAGGGAGTTCTGCCACTCTTAAAGCACGCAACCTGCGAACACGGGCGAGTGGATGCGATTTCAGATTGAAGGCTGATAACTATCCTGCACCGACCTGCACAGGATGAAGGACGTATGCCGCCGTATACGCATCTGTTGGACCGCCCCTGGAAACCGGCCGCCGCCTTTCGATGAGTAAGTGTGCACCCAAATCACTCCGCGGTCCGCATTAGCGCCTAAGCCCAACTCACAAGCTACTACATCTGGACACCTGGACGCCTTGACACTGCTGCTAGACGACGCTGGATTAAGATGAGTGCGGTTCTTTTACGGACCGGTTTTCTGTGGCTGTGTGATGCTTATCACTCCGCGTCAGCTGCCAAACTTTGCACTGTGACCTGTGCATCCTGCTCTTCGTAGGTCAAGCATATCGTTAGACTCCAATGCACTGGAACATCAAGCTCAAGTGCTAAAGGGAGCCGACCATTTTCTTCCTCGGATCCATCCCGCATCATTCATTTTTTTTCCTTTCCGACTTGGGGCTCCACACGATATTCTGTATTGTACTTCATGCAAGGCCATCACAAGCTACTTTGGCCAAGCGATGTAACGACGGCAATGGAAGACCGTCGTCCTCAAGTTTAAAAAGAGGCAAGCTTTTGACGGTGGCCATTAGTCCTCTCTATATCTCCCTCTTGTAATCGGCCATTCCAAAGATGTTCTCCAAAGCTCTTCTCGCTGCTTCCGCCCTCGTTGGTTATACCCTTGCCCAGTCTTGTCCTGAAGCCTCGCGCTTTGGTGGTGTCACTTATTCCCCAAACCCGATCGTCCTTGGTCAGGTAGGTTATTCGGACAGCGACTGAATTATATATCCTGATGACAACGTACAGGAAGTGACTTTCACCGGAAACTTTGCCTGTGCCATCGAGCTTGGCTACGCACCTGTGTTTACGGACTACTTTTTGGAAGTTCCTGAGTCGAACAACACTGGGTGAGTGCTGGCTCCAAATTTTCACAAGAGCGTCGTTTTTCTGACCGCATGATCGATGATAACAGCTTCCAGCCTCCCGTCTACATTGCGCGTCGCGGTCCTCCACCTAGTGGTGGAATTGACACGTTCACCTATACCGTAAGACTCTCGAAACGTTTGCTGGAATTGAGGCTAATCTGATTCAATAGTTCGATCCCGAATACTCTCCCTTCACCACCAACCCCGATGCGCAGTATGTGATTGTTGTTCAGACTACCCACGCCGAAGGGTCTACGTTGGTGACTGGTTCCACGTCGTCTGGAGCCTCTATTGTCCAGGCCTCCGACTAGATTTTGGTAGCTGGTACTGTAACCACCATCGTGGACAATTCGCTCTTTACTCGGACAATAGACATTGGATACATATATCAGTCTAATAATACAGACAAATGTTAACGGACTGAAGACATTATGCACAAATCACAAACTCAAGTGGAGATCTCAGTCGACATCTTGTACAATATCTAAACGAGTACTAGTGTTGGTTAATAAAGACTCCTAGACTCTTAGATGGCTCTGAGATGGCTCTGAGATGGCGGTTCAAGACTACTATTAGATCATTATCAAGGGTTGTAGTTACACATCATTTGTATATATGTGTTTGTCCACAGCCTCGATTGAGCAGCTCAGGACAAATATCCAACACTCCCCCTCTGCGAAACAAAGAGAGCTCCCCCTAAGCTATAAATATAATCAAGCATGAAAATCAATATACTCCTCCTCTTCAAAGGGTGGACAAGTAGGATAAGCAGAAAAACCATAAGTATCAATAGGAGCAATGAAATGTGAAGAGATGTTATTGGGAGGGTTGTGAGTGATGTGTGCAGTGTCATATGTGCGATTAAGACACCAGTGCTTGACTTCCTCTGGCATGTCCTTGACACAGTTAGAAGCCTTGTGCGACATACCTCCACAACGGTGACAGCCATCCATAGACATATCGCACCAGCGATTTCCGCGACTGTCTATAAATCCTTGTCCATCTTCATGGCCGCTTCCATTGGAAGCTCCCCCTCTTCCTCCCCCTCTACCACTAAAACTTTCCCTAGTACCAGATCCATTCCGACTTCCTCCTTTACTTCCCTTTCGGAAAGCTGTAGCATAAGCATGAGCAGCCTCTACACGGGAGGATGGTTCAGATGGGTTATTAATCCCATCTAAAATTTCATCAGCTCTCTTCTCAGGGTCAAATGAAACCATAGCACTCTCAAGAACAGTGCGGCAGGTTTTAAGATTGGGCTCGCCAGTAGGTTGGGTGAGAAGAGATGTTTTCCAGGCCTCGAATGATGAATGAAGGTTCTGGAGCATGATATCCTTGTGATAACTATCAGAGATTGTTTCACCGGAAGGGAGTAGTGCCTGAAGACGAGCACGCATATCATCCAAAGCATCAAGATAGACTTTGGTTGGTTTAAGCGGATCATGCGTAATGCGGTGATAGGCAGCACGTGTAGCTGAACGTGAGGAAAATGATGATTTTTCAAAATAGGAGACAAGTGCACTCCAGATTTTGGAAGCATTTGTCTTATCCTTGTAGATGTTTCGGCAGTCTCGATTAGTGAGGGATTTAATGATGGACGCAGCCTGTGAGTTGAGTCGATCCCATTCCTTGGCATCAGCAGCCTCTGATGGACGTGAAGTCAACCCTGTGGCAATCTTGGCGCTCTGACCATCTGCACTAAGCACCATTTGCAGAACATCCTCTTTCCAGTTGCTCCAGTCATCAGCATTTGTAGTGGAAAGTAGGGGAATGTTCCTTCCAAGATTAAGAAGAGCTGAAAGTGTGGCCATAGTTAATGAATATGAGTCGTTGAAAAGGGATTGGGGATGGGATGATGAAATGAGTGAGATTGAGTGATTGGGTGAAAAGTAAAGCTCCTAGATGATGAATAAAACTCTTAGATGTATAGTGTGGACATGGGGCCCATAACCTGTTGGTTAATAAAGACTCCTAGACTCTTAGATGGCTCTGAGATGGCTCTGAGATGGCGGTTCAAGACTACTATTAGATCATTATCAAGGGTTGTAGTTACACATCATTTGTATATATGTGTTTGTCCACAGCCTCGATTGAGCAGCTCAGGACAAATATCCAACAACTAGAACGAAAGGGGATCTGTCGGACAAGCTTCAAACTACTGACATCTTCCAAATCTCGATCAGACACCCGTCATTACAAGTGACTATTCAGTCCAGGGAAGAGAAACTAATGAACTTGTTTTCACCAACAGGAAACGCAACAAAGAAACAAAAAACAGCACAAGTACAGTACTCGAGTGGTTCGAAAATGTTAACCCCCGGCGGGACTCGAACCCGCAACCTTCAGATTACATAGAAGTCTGATATCATAACCATTAGACAACGGGGGCCACGAGTTTGATGAGCAGTGTGGACGCAGTGTGGTACTCTCGTTCCTCCCAGCGAAAACTAAGGCAATATCTACGCAGTAGTGCAGACAGATGCCTGATGTATGCATATCTACCTGGGTAATCGCGCGCTTGCTAAGGTTGAGCCTGTTGGAGACTTATCGGATGATACGCAAATGATACGTTCCCAAGGGCAAACTCTAAATTCTAAAATCTTGAGTCGAGGGGGATCGAGGTATCTGATAACAATCTTCATTTGGGCTCAGTGCTCCGTGCTGTGCCCCGTACATTGGAATAACGTCGATGTCGATAAACACCGCCTTCGTTATAACATTATGGAGAACCGACACACAGCCCGTTCGGGTCATATTTCCCGCCCCCGGCACGGGGGTTCAAACGTTAATCCTGAAAGTAATACCTTTTCGAACGTTCATACATGTTCATGTGTTCCGTCTCACCGGAGAATTTTCCGGATTGGCACATGCTTTCGTCTTGCTCCACTAAATCCTTCCGCTACCCATCCTGTATGGGCTATGTAAGACTAACTCAGTGCCTGGATGATGGACCAGCGTCCGCTGCGTGTTCCCCATTGCTCTGTCAGTTCATGGTGGGGATTAAGTAGTTATCATAGTATAGTTATCGTGGACTCCTTGGCAATAAAACATTGATTTTAATAGGTAAATCTTACAGAGACAAGCCTGCGAAAATAAGCAGATCAAAAGATCAGAGCTCTCTCATTATAGTAAGTATCTAAAAAAAACTTTGCATACCAAAGATTACAAGTTTTTCTATGATGGGGCTAGTCGCATCAGCGAAACGCAGTACTACAGCTTCCACCAGATACTTACTTCAATCAGCGAAAAAAATCCAGGATTCCAAGTTTCTCCATGATAGTCGTATTGGCGAAACATCTATAGCAGAGCAGCTTCTAGCAGCTTCCGCCCGAGTTTAACCAACAAAGGCTACACACCTGGTGGAGCGCTCGGATCACCTCCACTATTTGATTTTGTCGTGAGTTTCAGGGCTTCTTGGCTTACCTCTTGGTAGCTATTTCAAAGATGGGATCAAGACGAATCCAATGATAAAACGAACCCATCCTGTTTGTTCCTTTCCCAACACGACTGGTTCGTTCCCCACCCCCCGTCAGCTACTAGCAGGTCTAGTTCACTGTATTTTTTTCAATTTTTCTATCCACTTCACACAGGCCCAACCATGAGATATATCAGATGCCGAGTTTCCTCTCTGATCCTCTTACTCTCCTTCATCGCTCATTTCACACATGGTGCTCCGGTTTCTTCACTTGCATCCTCGGAATTGGAAAACGATTTCGATTCCCCGTACATGGATGTTTACGACTCAGCTTACCCCTTCCCAGACTTCGATACCAGTCACGATCACAATCTCGAACCCCCTGATCCCATTTCCGACTCTGTTTGTTCTTCACAGAGCTCTTGCGGATTATCCTCCTCCGACGTTGCGGTCCGCTCCCCTGCTGAGGTCACTATTCATCGCCGGCGGATGGCAACGCAAAATAACGGGAATGCAGAAGCATTGAAAAAAGATACAAGATGCGACAAAGGAGGCGGAAAAACACGGTAAAGAAGGCAAAGGCAAATTCAATAGCTGCGGCTGCGGCAAAGAAGGCAAAGAAGAAAGTACAACACCAAAGAACCCGGAGGAGGACTGGCCCTAGCGGGAGACACTGTAGGGAAGGCTGGAACAGGTCCTCAGCAAAATAGGAAACGCCATACCAGGCCCTATAGGAGCAGCTTTAAAAGTCATCGGTACTTTTTTGTCGATTCTTGGCAAGATTTTTGGGGGCTTAGGAGCAAAGGCAAAGGAGTCGGCTCATGTGAGTATTTATGCTTTTTTCATTTGGGGTGTGAGGAATTAATTTGCTTTAGCAACGGTCTGCCATCGTTTTAAATTCCTGGAAAAACTCCTGATGTTTTATCATGTAGCGCATCGTTCACACAGAGAGTGGTGAACAAGACTGCTAAGAGTAAGCAAGGCCTCCTTATATTCTTATATACTTTTCTAATTCCGATCTCGATTAGAACACCCGGGCTGGATGATTGTTGCTGTATACGAAAAGTTGCACGTTCAAACCTACTTTCCAGGGAAGAAAGACCATAATTGGTCGGTCAAAGAAGTCAAAACGCACACTGTGTGTCTTTTTTATTACGTTTGTCCGAGCAACGTCTAATTCTTGTTTATCCTTAGGGACTAGGGGATTTTCCCTATATACTCTATGCTGGTGTGTATCAGAAAGCGACTAAAGACAGCTTCTAAACTCCCATATTGTATTAGTCGAAGCTGGTCTTTTGTACCTCGACGGCGACCGCGGATACGAGAATGTGAGTTCCACGTCCGAAATTCATTCCGCCAATATCTCATCAGGCCGAACAGTGGGCCTGGCAAGTTCCTGTTCAGAGGTTCCACGCTATTCCTAAGGACGCAACTGACGTTGAAAGAAGGATACTAGTGGTGTAAGTGCCGATTACGAATCATTTCGATTTCTACTGACTTTTTATCACCGCAGAGACGGAACCTATCCTCCAAATGTACCACCAGTTCCGGGACGATGTTTTCTACATATCGATGTGTTCGAGATGGGAAAAAAGCCACGCAAGATCGTCGCCGGGCTTCTGGACAACGCCAGAAACACCATTGGATATGGCTCGGGTTCATTACCGTTTACACTTTCGAACAGCCGGCTTAAAGCCGTTATCAAAGTCGCGGAACCTGAGAAGGGTAAGAAAGGTAAGAAAGGCAAACGTAAAGAAGGTCACCATGTGGATGTCACGGTGGGAGGGAAATCTATCGATTGTGATGTAGGGGGAATAGATCACGGCCAAACGCAGATAGACTGCTATTTTAAGTGTTCTGAATTTTTAAAATAATATCGTATCTCTATCATCTACCCTTTCTCCCCACCACAACCCATATTTGACATCTCTGAACCCACCCAACCTTGACAAGCGCCGCCTCTTAGAGCAGCAGCGTCCTCAATTCGGTCCGTTCGGATGGTCCTCCGTCCGTGCAGTGTCCTCCTGTGCCAGTTTCGGAGACTCGAACCATATTCGACAGAGGTATTCTTGCAGATAAAGTTTGCATCGATCCACTCTGGCTCCCAGATGGGCTGATTAACAGCAAGAAGATAGGTCTCGACAAGTTGTTGTAGGTGTCCGAAATACATAACACGAAATCATCGCCGATATGGAGTGAGAACGCTGAATTTGACAGTACATCGACTTCCGGAACAAGTACATAGAACGGACAAAAGGCATGGGTCTCGACAGATTGATGTAGGTGTCCGAAATACATAGCACGAAATTACTGTCGATGCGGCCGCGAGTATACTGAATTCGACGGTACATCGACTTCCGGAACAAGTACATAGAACGGACAAAAGACCTAAGTGTCTGTTGAGCACTGATGAGCGACGATTCAGCGCCTTGAGCCCAAAATGAACCAAGATACACATCGCCAAGAGGCTATCAAGCCAAAATTTTAATGGAAGGAAGTAAACATAGCAGGCACCGGGTGGATAATGGCGGGGATACTACGGCCTTGCATATCGGCTGTACTACTAGTCATCATTAACACAGCTCAGTGTTACATCCGCGAGTACTAACACTCTGAGACCGGATCACCAAAACATCGGAAACAATGGATGAAACAATTAAAAAAGCTCATCTACTCTGAAAACTGGAAGCTACGTTGAATGAAATGAAATTATGATCGTGGCCAGTATTCAAGTTAGGGGTCTTATATAAGCAAGTACAATATCTCGAGCTTTGACATTTACTTATCTAGTACATTCAATGTTTCTTACATAATTGAGACTCTTGCATCGTTATTAGTTCGACTGGGATGAGTTTATTTTTCTTTTCTTAAAGCTATTATACATATACATACTAAGTAGTCATTATTTGCAGTTATTTGTTCAGCCGAGATAACGATCATTAATATTACAGCCATCCTCGCCGAGCCACTTACACTACTTACTTGGTTTACAAGACTTCAATAAGTAAGCTTACTATTTACTATTGATTATGGCACACTGGTCCTAACCAGTGCTCCTTGCTCCGTACATCAACCGTACATAGTGTAGAATTTTGAAACGTTAGTAATTCAAGCCAGAACTTGAATAAATGGTGAGAACTTGGCGTTACTAATTGCGTACACTGTGTTGGCAAGGGACCTTGCAATGGACACGGCCAACATTCTGCTTAAGTTTCTGCATCGTCCTTATATCTTTTTGACATTTTCTCCGCATATCGCAAACTCCATATCAGCACTGTTACACCGATTGAGGTTGCAGTGTAGTATTAGTACTATACACAACTTCGGCCTAACTTCTGCCCTAGTACAGCGGGAACGTCCGGACTCTAAGGTACTGAGAAATAAGCATGATAGTTCATCAAGTGATAAGTATTAAGGAGCGGCAGTATGAATAATGTGAATAAGAGTGTGTGGGACAGCATCTGATAAGTAGCGGCAGTGTGAATAGAGTGTATGGGAGAAGTAACGGCAGTGTGAATAGTGGGAATAGGAATGTGCGGGCCAGTACTGAAATGGTTGTTGGTCCAGTAGTCATGGTATTGGCACTGACGCATTGCCTGACAATTCGCGATATAAACGAATCCACTCCGTTTGTTTGTTTCCCAATACGACTGGTTCGTTCCCCACCCCGTCCGCTACTAGCTGGTCTAGTTTACTTGTATTCTCTTAACTTTTCTTCCGACTTTACAAAAGCTCAGCCATGAGAGATATCAGATGCGGCTTCTTCGGAGTTTCCTCTCTGATTCTCCTACTGTCGTTCATAGCTCATTTCGCACATGGTGCTCCAGTTTCTCCGCTTGGATCCCCAGAATCGGAAGATGATTTAGATTCCCCATCTATGGATCCATCATACGACTCTGCTTCTACCTTCCCAGACCCCGATTTTAGTTCTCCCGACGGTCTCGTCTTTGATACTAATCACAATCTCCCTAATC